GCCTTCGAATCGGAAAAAAACAAAGTCTGTTTACCTTATAAATGTAGTAAATCAAGCCGTATTAAGTCGTTAATATGTACATGAGCGCATGTATGTATGATGCGAAAGGCGAATATAATATATTATTATTACATCGTAACACGTCATCATTATGTCGCTATTAAATTGTATAAACACGTCGACGTCGTACATGCTATGATATTATAATATATACACTATAATTTGTTCATTATCGAGACCTATGATAAGAACCTATGGGGTTGACGACAGTCGACAGCGTAAATGACACAGTATATAGTTGCACAGAAGCGTCATCGTCACACCCTGCAGATACGTTGCTCCCTCGTAACCACTCTTTTTCATCAAATATTGGAAACGATGATTGTATTATGTACATTTTATTACCTTTATTTGAAAAAGATACTATACATACAAAATAGTATTAAAACGATATCATCTTTTTATGTTTTTGAATAGGGTTTATAGAGCGAAATAATACCGATTTCACTGCAGATAGGCTTATATTCTATAAAAATATATTCTAGGGTAAGTCGATAAAAAAAAAATAATTCATTTTTCTTTTCTTATAGGCTAACAATTTTAGTTTATTATGATTTTGTTTTGGATATTATTATTTTTCTTGATTTTTGAGTCACTGTTACTTTAAATCAAAAATTAAATCGGTTAACAATTGAATTTAATAAACATTTTTAAAAAAAAATTATTTTTAAAGACGCGCTTTATTCATAATTTGGAACAGGAGGGTTTAATAATATTAATAATTACGAATAATTTGTTTTTTTAGAAGTAAAATATTTCTACTACTCTTTTTAAAATAAAAACTTTAAATTAAAACAATAATTATACATTTTAATTTGTAGGGTGGTAGAATACAATACATAACTTTAGATTTAGAATTTAGAATTTTTAATTTTCTATAAAACTAAATAAATTATAAGTACCCGAGTACTTAAATATAATTTAAAACAAATTAAAGAAACTTAAAATTATCATTAGTAATATCACAATTTTTTTTTAATTATTTAACTAATACGCTTCCCCCCTTTATTATGTTACACGCCATTTCCCCCATAAATATTATTTTAGAGAGAAAGTGTATCACTGAAATTTATAACTATTTCACTAAAGTACCTATTTTATAAATTTTACTTATTACGAAGAATAGAAAATAAAATGAGATTATTAAAATATTTATTGTCAAATCACAAATATTAGTATCAAAAACCAAAAATGTTTAATCAAAAACACAATTCTACATTACTATTTGTTTTGTTCGTCATACACGATCATAGATAATAATAATAATATTTTTTTATAACTTTCATGGTTCCATTATATAGTGTAACTGCTGTAAATATATGTACAAACATGTTCGAAGTATTAATTTGCTATTATTAGTTATTCTATACATATCTATTTATACATAATTTAAAATCATGTATTTACCCCGTCTAGCCCTATACACAATAATATATATTATATTACAGAAAAACTTTTATTTAAAATTCAGCTAAAGAATCAGTACCTAACTATAATAATTGCTATTTATAAGTAACCGACTGAGTACGAATTGTTTTCATATAACACTAAAAATGCGTGGTATCAAAAAATGTAAATAATTCGTAATGAGGTGACCGTTAACGGAAGTTTACTATAATTCACAATATTATGTTGTAGGTTATGTAGGTATGTAACCTAACCCAACCAATTCGTTTCTACATTTTTATGTAAACCAAATGTTAATAATTAATATAAAAATAAAAATGGGTGTTAATCGTAGCATGTTGATGTCCATGATACATAATATCACGCTTTATGATTGAAGACTAGAATAGTAGATGCAATTTTAAAAATCAAAAAATATTACTATTTTGATAATTGTTTTTATGATATTAAAAAATAAAATTACAAAATCGTTGAAATTGAAAATAATATATTACCTATATGATTTCAAATGTTCACATACATTTCGTTACACGTAATTGTAGCACTGTTTTGGTAATTCCTATACCTACAGACCAATTCGGGTCCTAAATAGTTATATACTATCATCTGTTATAATAACAACGTCCTTGTATAAGTTATAGCGGACAAAAATATGTCATTTTTAATTTTTCACAAGGTATTTTTCTATCACAAAAATACAGATTATATCTTAGGAAATATATTTAGTATTAACCGTTTTGTATTTTTTAAGCAAATACTGTAGATAATCATAGATATATTTAAAATAGTAGTCCTTACTCCTTTATGTGCTCTAAATAATAATATCAAAAAATCCTTGTATTTACAGCCAGGTTTACGATAAAAGAAACAATTGTCTTAAAAATGAATGTGAAATATTCAAAATTTTAAATGATATTTTTAAATTGATATATATATTAATATAATAAGTAGTATGGTCATTGCAGCAGTAAGTTGTCGAAGTGATATGCCGACGCAGCAACTGAGACGAAAGCGATGGTTGCGGCTGCAGTAAAAATGAGCAGAACATGACAATACCCGACCGCAGCCGGACCCTGCAGTGCGCATAATACATTTAATAGTCTGGCGAACGTCATGGGGCCGTATAATTTGATTTAAAGTCCGCGCGGTGGATCGCTGGGAGGGCCCACCATCACCGCCAGCGTTCACGGTACGTTTATTTTTATGATTCCGCGTTGGCTTTTTGCGGAATTAAAACTCACGGCGGCTGACGAGTATGATGGTTATAGTACTTAATATAATATATAGATATGTACGTCGGCGTACGCCATGTTTTGCTTATTATTTAGCACTAAATACATATATATCCGTCCCCTATCCCTTAACGCGTGAAGTAATAAAGATAATGCTTATACCTATATACTATAAACATCATAATAACAATTTCGTTTCGCCAACTCTGCCACTTTCGATTTTTAAACAAAAAATTTCAACGAAAATTCTATTTGATCAAAACTTATGCAGCAAAGAGGAAACGTTTCTCCAATACGCACGTAGAAAAAACGTATTTTCTCATGTTTGGGAAGGTGAACAAAATTGAAAATTGTACAAAAAAAATAAAAAGAACATTATGTCAATGGAGTTTATAATTTCTAATAATAATAACGTTATTCGTGTAAATTAACTAATACTATTAATTAATAATATTTTAATTTAAAAATGAGTAATGGAGTAATAAGTAACCAGTTGCAATACGAAATTATAAAATTGATTTTTTATCTTAAATTGAATTGTTAATAGTGTTACAAAACGTGGTTTTGTATTTATAATTTTTTTTTAATATTTTAAATTATTAAACGTACGTGAAATATTTTATAATAAATGTAACATCAACATATTATTTTGAGTTTTTACTCAAATATGCAAAAATATGAAAAAATAAATTTTGTCAACACAATTTTTAACAAAATTTTATAATATGTATAAAATTGAAAAATTTTAATCAAAATAAAATTTTCCTGAGTCAAATAAATATAAAATAAAAAGCATTTGCAACTAAATCTGTAACCTAATATCACTCATCAGTAATATCTAATAATGCATTTGTACATCATCGTTGTAGTTATATGAATGTTTTTATAGTTTTATGTGGCGCTTGCGTATATTATGTTTAATGTTGCGAATGCCGGATAGACTATTGAGACCCTCCTTTTTAAGATATAGGTACCTATACACGCAACACGCCACTAGAAATCAAAGTGGTGTTGACCGTTGACATGTTTATATACGTACGTCATATAATACTATTATATAGAAAATAACACATTTACACACCACGCTATATAGTACTTATATAGTCGACAGTCGTTTAGTATTTGAATATATAATACATATTATTAAGTTTATTTATAACCATATAGCTGTATAGGTTACACTATACCTTACCTATGCAGACCACAGTTACGATTATTACAATCGAAATATTTGTATAATTTATAAACCTATAAAATATATTTTTACATAATTTAATATAAAATAATATATGTTAATAAGTATGATATATGTTATACGTATTTATAATATATGATTGATTATATGGTTAGTTAGAGCAATTGACTATATATACGCGATTGGGCACTAGAAACTTACGATCTGATTTAAAGAAATAATATTTTTAAGAAATTATAATATTAATAAACTTAACACTTTAACGCAATATTTATTATCGTATAATCTTTTTTGTAGACTTGTATAACGTAGTAAATATGTTTATTCCAATTATGTTAATCATCTACCTATTTATAAGCTAAACACAGTCGATCTATTAAGTTATATCTATAGTCTATACGTATAATCTACTTGTATAGGTACGTTAAATTTATAAGTTATGAAAATATACGTGTTTAATATTGGGAGAAAATATTTACAATTAATTTAATAATTTTAGTTAAATATTATAAGTGTGCATTACATAAATTGAAGTCTTAAGTAGATAAATATACTTTCTAGTTACTATCTTTATAATAATAAATATATATATAGGTATGCTTGGTCTTACACGTTCTACAAAAATACATCTTTTAAATCTTGACTTCAATTTGAATACACAAACGAAATGTTGAAACACTAATAATCATAAAATATCATAATATATTTATTATAGGAGTATATAATATATGACATTATTAAATTATTGATGGACAAAGGCTGGAAAGTTGTGGTACGTAAAATATTCTGTCTATACCACTATAATTGTCTATAACTATAAAACATTATTAATATTTCAGATTTAACCAATGGTTATTGTGTTTTTGTAAATAATAGGTAAAATCATAGGAATTTGAACAAATATATATTATTATGTCACCGGAGAAGAAAAAACGACGGTATAGGTCGTTAACAACTTGACTTTCTCGCGAGTTCCCGCATGTACCCGTTTTACCCGAGTTGATTCACTAAAAATGGTCAGAAAGTCGAACCAGTCTACTTCCACGGCCTATCGGCCTTTTCTGCAGACTCACAGGCAGAAGAACGTTGCAGATTGTGTTCGACGGCCTGACGGCTCATAACACCATCACTTCTTATTAATTTATATCTACATAGGAAAAATCTAAGAACAAATCATATTATTCATACAAATAAATCGATTGGCCACAGCGTAACTATTTTTAGGTAAGTGATTTATTGAATATGATCAATGATAATATTATAATATTAATGTGCTATTAATTCATTCGTTGAGTACATTTTTTTGATTATATACAGATGTCTAACGTTAAAAGTTGAAATGGCGCTCTTTTATGTTTTCGGAAATAGTCATACTTATTTCATTAGGAATATTATATTTTTCTTTAAAATTAATCTTTTCCAAAACATCTAAATCAATAAATTTATCTTTTCAAGTTGAATTTACTTATATCAAACGTTTATTAAAACAACAAACCAAATTCCTCTATTGATTAATCTGTTTTTTCTGCTGTCAAGTGTCTTCGCATACCTGCACTTTTTTTTAACGATTGCAGTTAAAGCTAATTAACATTTTAAAAATAAATCTAAAACAATTTAGTACACCAAGGAAGCTATTTAAGCAAATAAACTTAATTTTTAGAGTAAAACTATGTTTTTAAAATTAAACATCATTCAAATAACGATGAAAATATTATAACTACATACTATAAGTACATAAAACTGTAAAAATATTACCTAATAAAGTATGCAATTATAAGTATAATAAAATACAAATAATTATATTTTACAATTGAAATTTATTTCGGATTTAATCAATAGTTTTAGATTATTGTTATTTTGGTACCTATTATACGTTACTTATATAATTATACTGCCATAAGCGTCATATATATATATCTAATCGCACTAATTATTAATTAATGATTATAATTTTTATTAAAATCTGATACAGTTTTTTTCTCTTTTAATATTAGTGATTACTGATTATATATTCTACAGAACTCTTCTGCATGTTATAATTTATGTTTTGTTTCCACTGTCGAAATATTTCTCGATACTACGATTTAGGTTCGAAATAATTCAATTTAATATTAAATTATAGCCAGTACTACGTATATTAGTACTCGAGGCCGGCCCCTTTTTCAATATACAATCCTATAAATATGATGAGGTTTTTCTTATCTTATTAGATACATAAAACGATACGTTAAATTACTATTTAATTTATTTTTCACCGATGAAAATGTCATTACTGTATACAAAATCGACATTATGTTATTATAATAGGTAATTTCGTGATATTTCATAAATCATAATGCTGTCTGTGGTCAGTGCGATCCTTGAATAATATCAAAAATGGACTAAAATCCAATCAGCCCATTGTTTTCAAAAAAAAATCTGCCCTCTACGAACAAAATAACCAACACCTAGCATTAATTTATCATTAATAATAGATACTTGTAACAAATTTATGGTAATTTTTTTGTTTTGATCATTGATATCAACCTGAATTTCATATCTGCAAATTTTTTAATTGAAAATTTTCTACTCCTTTTTTGGTTTTCTTCCATTATGTACTTATTAAATTAATACATTGATGAAGTAATCAAGGTATTAAAAATATTTAGCACCGAAGAAAAAGATTAAATTTAATTCTACACAATCTTAATTGTTATGTAGGTTACCTACTGAATGGTGACTGAAAATAATAGTTTTTAGCATATATAATTCATAGAGCCATTGATTTTATTTGTAATGAATTATTAATTAACAATAAGTTAAACTAAATATGTTATCATTGTTATCTATAATTAAGGATAAAGTTGCTTTTATTTTATTTTTAGATCATAATATAGAGTAGGTAATGTTAATCTATAATTTGGATTTAATTTTCAATAATACACATAGGTATAGTACCCTAGCTATTATCAATGGCATTTGACACAAAAAAGTATCTTATGTGTTAAATAATATTATATATTTTAAGTAATAGTATGATTTTGTTAATTATTACGACTTACAGGGAATCAAACTTGTATAAAATGAAATCTAATATCTAGGAATATTAATATATTTATTTAAAATTATTAATATCTAGGTCCGTTTATAATAAAACATTTATTTCGACAATACAACACACATCGAGTTATTTTGTACCGGTCCAGATGAAATAATATTAAAAAACTGATCTACTATGCGTCGGTGCAGATACATAGTAGTACGGTGGCTTAGTCCGCTCCTGGATCATAATCTACCGTAGGTAGTAAAATAGTACATGATCTAAACTGCAATCCGAGTTTTTCGATCTAACTATCAATATCATCCGAGTTTAAAATCAAAATTTAAAATTATCTACGATATAGACTTTAAACTTTAAATAATATAAATATTATAAATTAACTGGTAAGATAGATAATAGGTATTATTATGATTTAAAATATAACTTTTATCTATGGTTTTGTGTAAAAAATTTGTAGGTTATGTTCGTTGTGACATTATAGATAAGAGATTTATTGTTATTTTCAAAAAGGTTGATAATGATAACGTTGTTTTTAACGACTGACTTTAATTTTAATTTTTACTTTTTTACACAATTTTTTCTGTTTTAATTTGAAACTTTTACATATCAATTAATTTTCATCCTTCAGTTTTAAGTGTTTTTCTATATTATCTAATAGATAGTTCATTAACTTACATGGAACTTGATTATAAATTTTATATTAATGTTTTTGAGTTAGTTACACTTGTTAAACATTTAACATGATATTCTATCATTCAAAATGTTTTACATATTAACCACTAAGATGACATATTTATATTATATGTTGTTGTTAAATTATTTCTGGACACGACTATAATAGATATTGATAATTCTAGTAAGTAAAAATTAGATTTGATAATTCTTACTCAGTTAATATTATTTTTTTTACATTAAATGTTTATATGTTTATCTTACTTATATTATGACCACTACTAAAGTGTTTTAAATATATTATTCGTTCAGCGATTGGTGTAACGGTAGATAGCATATAAGTATTAGTGTGAAGAAATAGAGATTTTATTTTGAATAAGTACCATGGAAACAGGTCACATTAATGTAAACAAATACATTTGTTCAAAAGTGAGAACTAGGAAGAAAGTAAAAACTTAGGTTAGGTATCACTTAACATATTATAGTTGATAATTAATATAAATTGATATACTAGGTGAATGTGGGATAACAATAAAAATTAACAGAATAAATACACAACACTTGTCGCTCATCTTTTTAATACCCATCATAATATATTGTTTGTGTGTGAATGTCCATTGTGAAATCAAATAATGTTTGGTCTGAAAGAGAGAAATTAACCAAATTATTTTTTTAAAAAAATAATCAATACCTACATATTGATAGGTGAAAACATTTTTTTTTTTCTGTAGGGACTAATATAATATATATATATATATACCTACTATTTACCTAATAAGGGTGTTAGGCCTTAGCAACGGCAGTACTTATGTATGTATATAATATTATAGTAGTTGGGTTAAATTGTATTGGCTATGTACCTAGTATTATTTTTTCTACAATTACTCGACGCTATTGTCGTATAATATAAGTAAAGGCGTAGAACTAATTTTAATAGTTTAGGAATACCTTAAAGTAAACATAACTATTATCGTACCTATATATTTAATTAATGTACCAGATGATAAATTATTTTGTTTGGCTTTGCTAAATCTGCGGATTTACTTTTTTCGTGTACGCAGTGCGGCGCTATTGACGGATTAGAGTGAAAGCGATACCCGAAAATAATCATAAGAAAATATAATGAGTCAAAAGAACTGCAATAACAACCGTCGGTTGAATCCTGCAAAAATGTACGAGGCATTACACAAGAAGCGTGCGGCCGAATGCGAAGCCAGAGAGCAATGGGCCGGCGTGACGCAGTACTTTAAAACGTGGGAGAACAACTCGAACAAGTTTACAAATTGGACTTCGCCGCAGTACTACAAAAAAAGGTGAGCATTTAGATGTGACCAGAAATTTTTTTTTTTTTTTTTTGAGAAATAGTCCATAATATATTATGTTCCTATTTTTTTCCGTATCTATGAATTTTATTATTAATGTTGAATATTATAATTGGTTTAGTTCCGAGCTACAATTGGAAATGCGGAGACGGGAGCAGCGAAAACTCGAGGAAGAACAAGAAGAATTGCAAAAGTGGCGCAAGAAATTGCGGGACAGACAACTCGAGGACGAGGAATTTAAGGTATTTATAAATTATAAAATACTCACGTAATTTAACGGGCGATGTTGAATACATTATATTTATAATTTATAATATTGATTGGAATTCGATTTATTTTTTACTTGTCTTTTGTGGCTCGTTCAAAGAAAGGACAAATGAAAAAAAAGCCCGTACCACTGTCGAGGCCGAATTCAGCAGGACAAAAAACACCTTGCGAAGAAATGGCAATGGAACTAAAACGTAAACACGACGCTGTCACGGATAGGGAGATCGAGTTGAGACTTCACGTGCGATCCAAATCGTGCGATCCTAAACAGGCTAAACAAGTGACTACATTACTTATTACTTATTGGTTATTAGTCATTAATTATACAATATAATAATTCATCTTTTATTCTCGTCATGATGTCTTGCACGCGTATAATTAATCTGTTGATGTCGTGACTTGGACAATATTTTAGATAGGCAACTATTGCAACAGAGTCAATCCTATTATTCATTTCTAAAAATAAAAAAAATGTATTAAGTACTTAGTTCTAAAAAACTTATTATACATCTGTCGCGTATGTATATGCATATATTATTGCTTAACAGGTGTTCAATAGTTTTGAAAACTCTTAATTTCTGTATGGCAATTTATATATACGTGTCTAAATTCAGCTACAACAGGAATACTGCTGTACATTAATAATCTAAAATATTTAATAACCTCGTTAAATTATTATTATTATCATATTATCGTTTTGCAGTCTCAGTTGGTCTAATAATCATTTCCAAGCTTTTATGAGTACATTGTATATTATAGATGTATGAATATGCATCTACGTATAATATACAAATGAATATGCTATAAGCCCTAATTTTAAATAAGAACTGAACTTGCATAATGTTTTATTCAAATTTTATCAAACTCGAATCAAAATTTAAAAAAAAAATTCTATTAACTTTAAATAATATAATGATGACGAAAAATATGAAAAAATATTATATTTACGATTTATTTACTTAAAGAATAATTCAATTTTTTCTCGTTCTTTAGTATGACAGTATAATCATGTATTTTGATTTTCGAATATTTGCAGTTTTTGAGGTTTTTTTTTTTAACCGAACCAAATAATCCATGTTAATTAAATAATAAATTTTATATCGCAGTTTGTTAATATCATAATAGTCATTAATTAAACATATAAAATCATTTTTTTACAATTTTAATTTATACTTAATATCTATTCAGCAAAGGGCAATTTTCCATGTAGCAACAATATCGTGGTATAATATTAGTTTGAATAAGTTAACATTTAAACATTGGATGATTTTCATTAGATCAATCATTTTTCTGAAAGTTGTATGGATACCTAACATATCATAAACGTCTTCCTTCCAATAGAAAATAGAAAATTAGGTCTCTCGAATAATTACAACTTTTTCAAATCAATGGATTCAATGATCAGTGTTATTTGTAAATTGGTTTTGACTTTTGAGCATTTATAATTAAATGATTATCGGCCGAAACGATAGGTTGTCAATATTATAAAAGTTGTCAGTTGTCACACATGTTATTTTCCTTACAAAGGATACCTACTTAGGTTACACAGTTAATATACATGAAGATATGTAGTCACGTACTCACGTCTCTTACACTTAGTTATAAACGTATTTACGTATACAATAAGTATTCTAATTTGAACTTTGAACTCTGACAATTTTAGGTTAAAAAATAGGTTTAAACTAGTGCGCAATAGCTTTAAAATTTTGTGTGTTTAAATACTTATTCAAATAATTTTTCATATATTATTGTTTGCTTTGCTAGTATGTAATGCGAGAGCGTGAGCGGTCGTCAGAGTCTTCGTGGGACGACCGGATGAAGGAGAAAAAGTCGGCGGACCAAAAACGGCGAGAACGATCGGAAAACGAACAACGATTGAACGAAGAACGGTTTGCAGCTGATAGATTGGCCGAAGAGGAAAAACACCGGACACGAAAGGTTCGAGCGACTCAATTGAAAGACGAACTTGTTGGTCGTGTGGCGGAATTAAAGTAAATAATAGTTTGTTTACCCATATTGGTAATAATTGTTATGGGCAGTGACGGGTTCAGAATTTTTTTTTTCTAGTGGGGAAGCACAAACATGTACATATTAATTTTTAAACACTATTTAGAATTTGATGTTAGGATTTCAAAAAAAGTATTACTTAAATCTTTCTAATATGAAAAATGTAGTACCTAGCATAATTTAATTTGTAATTTATAAAAAAAAGTCTAGAAAATCGAAATACTACAAAATAAAAAAAGAATTACTTAAAATGTATTAAATTAATTTATATATTATTCTAGGGAAAGTTATAAACACCTTGGTTATTGTTTGGAAAATGAATCTAAGACATCTTTTGGTACTACATTAATTTCTTTGTGATTAATAAGCAATAGTAAATTTAAATGATTTTTCCCCATTGTACTCCTTAGTATGATTTTATACGTTTTAACGTAGAAAATGATCGCTCACATGTGCTTGTAGTTATTGGCAATACTGTTAAAATACATGTTCCTTAAATCTGCTATTGGATTTAAGTCTTAATTAATATTTCAAGACGTGTTTAGAAATAAATAAATAATATTGACAGATTGTTTTGGGATGGTCTTTACTCTTTAGTACTCTGTAACGATGCTATGTTCTTTGTGTTCAAAAGCTCGTGATTGGGACTTGTACTAAAAATCAAAAAATAATTTTAAACAAATATTCTAAAAAAACTTTACAAGTACTTTTAAATATACGCTAAAAATATTCAAAATTTATATGTAAAAAAAAATAAAAAAATAATATCTGTGAAAAATTTAAAAATAATTGTATTGTATTAGTATACTTTATACTATAACATTCTATATTGTAATTTATTACATTATAGATAATAATTTTTGCATTTGTGTGTAGAAATCGTTCGGACCGATGTGATGAACTCAAGAGATTGGAATCTGCATACTTGACATTGCAATGCCGGGTGGAAGACGTGGAACATTGTAATGAGCAGTTGGATCGAAAAAAGATTCAAAGCTTATCCAGGTACTTAACAAACTAAAGTAAATCAGCATCATATATGAAACAGGGGTAAAACATCCAGGAGTATGGCTGTTTTTGAATCATCTTACTCCTTCCCCTTCTTATATTAGTATTATGTATTAATTTTAACAATGTTATGCTGTATTTTGCAGGGCCAAGGCACTCCGCCAGTACCTGACTACACTAAAACAAAGGTCTAAGGAGGTAGTTGAGTTTTTGCGAGAAGACCGTAAACTTTTAGATGACTTGGTCTCAACTGTACGCAGCTCAAATGCTGCGGCATCCATTGACCTGGGTGATATGGTAGATGAGCTAAGAAATCTGTACAACCAGTACGAGGATGACGAGAGCCAGCGGCTATACTTGATGGACTTTATGTTTGAGTGAGTATGGTGTAGAATATTATGTTCAAAGCAAAGGTATAAATACTAATTAACTAATTTATTTAAAGGAAGAAATCCTCAAGAAAATTTTTTTTTTTTAAATTGGGGGATATTGCCCTTCACATAATTTAGCTATCACCATACAAATATAAATTAATATTTACATTCAATATCAATATTATATTTAATGTATGTATCTTGTGTACATACAGTTATATATTATAGTAATATAATATATAACTGACACACACATTTTTTTAAATATTAATATTGTCTGGTCACATTATTCTCTCATCTCATTTTGTTGGATGACATAACAATTTTATGGTCTGTGTTTATATCATCCATAAATACTTAAAATAATCACAAATACATGAAAATACTTATTTTGGTTAGAAGAGACATATATATATTTTTAATAACACGTGTAAAATGGTAGATGTTAATGACAAAAAAAAAGTAATAAATTATTATTTTTGGATTATAACTTAATACTTTTATTGAATTGTATAAAAAAATTGTTCATTACAGGTAGGTACCGTGTAAACTATATTTATAAAAAAAGTTTGAAGAGCAGAAATTGTATGTTGATCAATTGTCAGTCTGAGTTATCATGTCTGCCATCAATATCCAATATATATTTTGTGGAAATTGAACAGAGTATAATATACATGTACTATGTGTTTTCTCAATTTTCTGTTTGTTATTGTATGTAGAGAAGAAGCTCGAAACATGTGGCGGTCACAAGAGGAACGGTGGCGTAAAGAACATGCATTACGCAAGACCGGAATAGAAAACCTATTTTCTGCGATAAAAACTCAAGTATGTATACACTTACTTATATTCGTCATGGTTAAATTATTAATTTTTGAGATGTGCTAAGGGTCAACTATGTTACATTTTATAACATTATAACTTTTTGCTAGTTGGAAGAGAACATTGACAAATGTTTGGAGGAACAACGTGTCTTGATCAGTGAACGAGAAGAGTTAATCAGTGTCATTGAAAAAGGTAATGACGAATTGAAACGGCTGGAAGCAGAATCGGCTGAGTTCTACGAACAGTATCCAGACTACTGTAGCAGTGACGATAATAATAATGATGGAATACAATCATCGGTAAGCACATTCTTAAAAGTTATCTAATTGTTAGGCAATAGTCTGTATGGCTATATAATCACAATAAATTGTATTCCTTGTTTTCTTTTACAGAATTCTACGGACTATAGACAATTTGAAAAAATTGCTTTAAAGGTAATGGATCGGGAACAAAAATTGTTGACAGATATGGCTCGAATGAATTTGTTGGATGATCCCAAATTAACAGTGAGTTATGAGTATTTGATTTATTTTTATACATTTTGGGTCTTACAGGTTTACTATTATACATGAGTAAATGAGCTACTAATTTGAAATGTATTTGTAATATTACTAATATTGTTTTTTTTTCAAATTTTGGTTTAACATTATTTGAAATAATATTTTTTATATAGTCATCAGTAAAATGAGTTTATGTTAATTTAATACAATATTTATTTTATTTTTGACTTTTAAAAGTTGTATTATATAATAATTAGATATTTATAACTTTTTTTTATTACCTGATAAAAAAAAATATATATAAATTGAATTGTTACAAATTGTTTTATTGTAAAATATCGTTGTGTTTCTATACTATGAAATTAATTCAACTCATCAACAAAAGAAGCGTTAATAAAAATGTCTATAATCAATATAAAAATCTCAAAATATTTTAAATAATTTAACTGTTTGTCTAATTAAAGTTCTTATTTGTATTTTGATTATATTTTTACTTTCAAATATATTTATGTAATTAAAATAATTAATAATCTGATTAAGGTCAAACTATTTTCAGTATTATTTTAGTTGGAAATATATTAATTATTAGCATGAATTCAAATTTTATTTTTGTTTTAGTTTTTTATATGAATTTGTTTTTACAATTATATATTTATGTACTTCTGAATCACTAATACTAAGCCAATAGAAAACATTATTCAAAATGCATTTATTTGTACATTACGATATTAATGTTCTATAAAAAGGTTTATTTGTTTACAATGTACAAAAATTAATAGTCTATAACTAATCAATGTATTATATTTTTAAAACATTTTAATAAAAATAAATAAATATGATATAATAATATCTATTAATAAGTTAAAATATTTTTAATCAAATATTTAAATAAAGTAACTATCTCAAAAAATGTATAGCAAATACAAAGTTAACACAGTTTTTCTTTACTGGTTTTTTTTTTAAAAATTCAAATAATTCTTTAATTTGTCTAAGAATTATACTTTAAAGAGAAAATTATTTTGCTTTAACTTTCAATCATGAATATTCTAAGAAAAACAATAACTTGTGTTTTACTAAAAAAAAAAAATATTGAAGTATATAATAAATTATGATTATTTATTTGTTGCAGGATCACAGAAGAAAGAAATCAGTTTGGTAAATTACTTTTGATTACACATTTAAATTTTATACGACTTGTATATCAACAAATTTGTCTTAACTTTGTATAATTTTTACATTTTCTCACTGACAACATAAGAGCAATTAGTTTTTAAATAGTTCTCAAAGAAGAATTAACAATTTATAGGTTTTTTTTTTTTTTTTTAATTGAATTATTTTATTGTTTCATCACTGTCTAATAGTTAATGATTTAAGATTTTGGTAACAAAAGATAATATTTTAATTCTGTGCAATATGTTTTTATTTTTTGAGCTTTATTGTTAAACTTTTATTAATGTATAATATTCATTGTAAACATTTTAAATTTTGTTATTTGGGAAATAATGAGTATGTATTTTATGTGTGTAAGTTTTTTAAGTATAGATGTAAACATATTTTTGTCTTCAGTGATTTTTACTTTGTAATTGTTTTATTTTTTTATTTTATTTTAAAAGATTATGTAATATATTTTTATAAAATAAACAGTTGTGTTCGATTGAATGAATACCGAATTGAAATACAATCTGTTATTATTGCTGTCAATAATAATATTAATCAGCTGAATTATTTCAGCTATAGGTTAGAAGTTAATTGTGTTCTGTAAATAGGTTTTTTTGTTTACACCGTACAAAAACAAATGGTTTATGACTCATCGATTTATTTCACGAGGCATGTTAATATTAAACTTGATTTTAGATTATGCTTAACTTAAGACAAATGTCTATAGAATTCAATTACTTAGAGGAAAATAATAATATTTTAAAGATTGAGAAGAAACTCGTACGGAAGCAGCTCATTTGATGAACAATTGAGCATAGTGAATGATTTCAAAGCCAACCTCGACCATGATCAGCACGATGATCATCCATTCCAGTCTAATGTGATGTTTGTCGCTCAAATGGTGTGACAAGAGCTCAACGAGTTCTAGGCAATGGTTTATTTTAACGTTCATTGTCTGGAAAATGTATTAGAATGAGTCGTTCTGCAGAGAAAGAACAACAACAGACAAAGATCGACGCGTTATCGCGAACTTACCTTGAGCCGCGTAGATATGCTAAAATAGTTACACGTTGAACGGTAAAACGTTTCCAAGTGTTCTCGTTCCCAGTAAAAATCTGGCAAATCGAGGAGATCGGAACTTAAATTGATCCTGTGTCTCAGTCCAAACAGTTCACCGGTTTTCTTCATGACTTCTTTTCTGGTGATCCGGATGGGCAATCCATTTTGTAGGTCCTGCGGAAAAAAAAACGCTATATCTACGTAGGTACAGAGATAAAAATGTCGGCGGGAAAAACGATTACCAGTAGACCGTAAGCGATCCCAAACAAGTAAAAACGTGGTTTATTATTTTATATGAAAAAGATACAGTCATGCTCGGTTTCTCGTAAAAACTAGATTTTCGGTAAAAGATGAATTAAGTGTAAAAGAATAAAATATTTGTTTTTAGACCTTTTCAGCAGTGACGTATCTACGGAGAGGATATGGTGGTCAAATACTTTCCAGGGGGTTACCTTTATTTTCATTTTTGTATTTAAAACAATATTTTGATCATTGAACACTGAACGGAAATGAATGGTATTTAATTCAATAATAATAAATTAAGTATACATTTAATTATAAAAATATGAGTTGATGATTTGATAACAGATATTTATTTAACGGATTAAAATTCCAATTTCAAACATATAATAATAACAGTATATGATATACATTCTGAATGAGTCTATCAAAATTACACTTGAATGATAAAAATCTTAGAAAATTATTTTGGACGCTAGAATGCTAGTTAGACTCTAATTTTGACAAATATATTATTTGAATGCAAAATTAAAGAGGCATATTTAATGTGGGAACAAACTAATGAATAATATAACATTTTTAATGTAGAAGAATCATTGAAATCACTGCACATACGTTTTAATAATCCAATTTTCCTAAATGACAAATTAAATCAACATGATTATTGAAAGATAGTTTTTGTAAAATAAAACTTCTAGATCTTTTGTAGTATTAGTACGTGCTAATTTGTATTGTTAACTGAATAATTAAAATAAAGAGTGGTTTTTTTTTTTTTTTAAGAATAAAACAATGCACTTTAAATAAGATTAATTAATATTTAAAAACCCCCTCCCCATGAAAAATCTTAGATACGCTACTGCTTTCCAGTATAGTATAATTTCATGCATTTAAAGCACATAACGCATATAAGTCTACAAAAATACAAAATATGCAAGAACTTGTGAATTTAAAAAATAATTAAACATTTTAACTCATAAATAATATTAAAAATAGCTGCAGAGCGATTACTTACTTAAGGCTTTCTATATTTTAAGAAACCCGATTTCTAATGACTGTATCAATATTCCACGTTTTGAAATGACAGTGTCAATTTTTCGACGATCAAAAACTCACTTGTGTAACGACCTCGACGGAATCTATGTACTCTTCGAGCATTGCTTCCCATATGCCCAGTTTCACGCTGTGCGCCATCGCGTTAGAGAACGTGAACCGGTCCAAGTCGGATGCCGTTACGTCATCGCCGATCAAATAAACATTTCCCTTTTGGATCGAACTTTTTCTAGGTAAACGCAAACAATGGCATAAAGTTAGACGTTATATCTATACTGATAATAATTTTAGTTTTATCAGTGACCTTTTTGACTTACGAAAAAGGGAAAATATTATGTTTTTGTATTTTTCTAGTTTAAATTTATTATACAAATGTTTTTTTTACAATTCATTTTTCTACAAAACTCAAACCTTAGGTACGTAGATAAATAATTTGATTGTTTATTAAACAATCAAATTGGAAATCAAACAAATCGGATTGCAAGGACGTGGATCATCGATTTAGTATACGTACCTATATGATATACACACAAGTAAAACAGAGATGACAGAAAAGAAAAATACTTCAGTAAAGAGGTGTGCATGACATATAATTGTTTAAAAATCAGTATAAATTACAAATTGCAATTCGATATGCACAAAATATGTAAGATATTACAATTGATTATAAATACTAGTATTTATTATCAATGATAATATGACGATATTTACGATATTTTAGCACATAGGTAAACTGACAATGCGCAAACGATAACCGTCAAAATAAGGTTCGAAACTATTTTCTTTTACTGTCTATTTTACTTTATTATCAAAATAAGAAAATATGAAATAATATTTATAACCTATGAAAATAAAATAAACAGACATAAGAAAACATGATATTAGTCCAAAAAATAGTTAGAAGAAAATGAAATCTTATAGTTGCAGCCTGCAAGTATCAGACGTGATTGGGACTTGTTTAATATATTTTTTGTATTAGGTATGTGCATAGAGGATTGCGTGGGCGCGAATCTAACAAAAATGACAGCAATAACCTTTAAAAAAGCTCTAGTCAGTGTACTCAGTTTATTCTTTGGTCAGTCTCTCAATTCACTAAGTGGATTGCTCTTTCTATCCGTAACAATTTTTACGCACATTTAAAATCACATATACAATATACATATTCATCAATAGTTACATCTTTTTTTTTTCATAACATTTAACTCATAGAAATGAATTCAAGTAATAATTATCTCTTTTGAATAAAGCCATTAAACTCTATCACGTCTAATTTAGTGATTTTTTCTATTTTGTATAACGGATTATAGCAATGTTTACATTTATTTAAAATACTTCCAAATTTATTTACAATACATTTATTATATGTTGTATGGATAACTATCAATTCCATAGAAATTTAAATACTACCTACTCATGCGCATATTACGTCCGATAGTTATAACTTCTTCTTATTTTTATTTTTATTTCATATTCCTATTACACAAATATTTATTTAAAAATTCGCATTACTTGTCGTTTGTGTATGCGTAATACATGCTTTCTCTTTCGTCCATGATAATGTGGTCTTTGTATGATCCGATCTCGTGTTCGGCAACAAAGTTAATCAGACTGCTGACTTCGAGGTCCGACACGTTCCATCCGACCACTGAGCCTTCCCGAAAAAAATACAAATGCCTGGGCTCGTTGGTCACGTGAAATTTGGACACAGCATGGATAACATCGACCGGTGTAGTTTCTGAAAATCGACGCGGTTCATACATATAATGTATAGTAGGTCATCAGGCAGAGTAAGTAAACTAAATGCATTATCATTATTATTTATTATAAAGTAAAAAAATCCCTCTGTAGTATTTTTCGTTCACGTTATCACGTATAGGTAATATACCTAGATTTTAAGTTTTATTTTTTTAAAGTCGGCGCTATAATAAATATGCTATTGCGTGCAAACCAATTATAGTACATGTCTGTATACATACCTACAATTCAATAACGATTCAACAATTGGTTGTTTTATGTTTACAATATAACATTAAATTTGTCTCTTACCTCTTACCAATACTTTACTATATTATGAACGTTATGTATTATAATTTTGTATACCTATGTGGCTATGTAAATATAACGATTTATTTTAAACTAAAAATATTTATTTACCTTAATATAATGTAAAATTATCTGTATAATATTATGTATCAATTATATACAGTGATGTGCAGTGCACGTAACTGTTTATTTGTAATATTATCAAAGGAGAATATAAATCAAATAGGTAATAAATAATAGTAATATTAGAGTGATATTTTCCCCAATATCGATGGTCTTAAAAAAACCCTTCTCCTTACACATAAAAAACTATATTTTTATAATATTATCATTGCAATGGCACACAAAATAACCGGGCGGAAAAAGTTCAGAAAACTCTAAGTCATAAATGATAAGATTTCTTTTTTAAATTTAACAGCAGAATAGTTTTACATGAAAGAGTCCGTCACAACACACATGTGCATGTATGATTGTACGCATGTGATTATAGTATCTTTCACGTAAAAATACGGTAGTAAAAATTTTATCGAAAACTAATACAAATAATTTTATTAATGATTATTATAAAACGTGATCTTGCTTACCTGCACTGTCGTCGGAACCACTATATAGGCACGTAGGCTCGTACATGTTCGTCTTAGACAGCGCCGCCGAAAGTTGTTCCAGGCGAAACTCTTCGGCAGTTGAAAACGCCGATACGCACCAATACTGCGGACACATTAGTCACGTGTAAATTGTATAATTTATTATTATATTACACGTTTACACCTACTACCTACACAAATGTAGTGTCACAAAAGGCAAAAGCGCAGCGAGTAATTTAGCAAAATTAATCTGAGTTAAATAAGTCGGGTCAAGTCAACGATTATTCATCAATATAGGTAGTTATATTTCATTCTGATATCAGAAGTTCATCTAAATAAAAAACTTACCCAAGGATATGCAAGAATGAAATACTCTATCCTTTAGTTAATTTTAAATCGAATCTCTCAATCTTACTGTACACCTCAATAATCCGACCATTAATCACATACACCTGACCAATATGGGCAGCAGCTTCTTACACAAAATTTAACAAAATTCAAATCCTCCAAAAAAATTTTTCTGTAAATATGTCTAAAAGTCCCATGGTTCATAATCGAGGAATAAACAAATTCATAATGATAAAGGAATTTCTCTCCTACAATACTGGATTAAGACTCAATTTAAAAACTTCCACACCAACCTTAAAACATCCGACGCGGACGTTTCTATATCTTGGGAACCAAAATAAAAAATCAGCGTTTAAAAGTAAGAACCATGTCTACCACAAAATTTACTATTATCAGACGTCAACAAATATGAAGATCAAACCTAAAATTCAACTAATAATATACATAATAAAAAATATTAATATGTAAATACTAAACGTCATTATCATTTATCATTATATGACAAACACGTTCTAATTATTATTATAAATGTTTAATAGCATGCAATATGCTGAAACATTTAATTTAAAATAAAAAAAAATAAATATTTAATTCAAAAAGTTTAAAGTTGATATGAAGAAAATTATTAATTCGATTAGGTTAAAAACAAGTCAGTTAATATTTTATAACTACCAGCTTAAGGTCACACGTAGTACCTAATTGTCGGTGCAAATTAAAATAAAATTTTAATACAGGACGTCCAGAATGAGTAGCCAAATATTCTCAACTCCATTTACATTGGTTTAACGAATTCATTAATATTAATTAAAACAATTTTTAAATACCCATGACCTCCACACATCTTCCAAACCCGTTATCGTGGAACTATTATTCTTGATAGATACTTTAAGCTCAATAACTTAAAAAATATTCGCTTCAATTTTGATTTTTATGCATAAACATTTTTAGAAAACCTATCTGCTAAATAATGCAAGTAAAAAGAGGGGTTCTAATTTGATTAACAGAAATTTGTATCTCCACAGGACAACAATTAAATAGCACAACATTTTTAAAAATTTTAAATTAATATTGTTTAAGTAAGTAGGTACCTACCAAGTACCAGCTATATATATTATACCTCTATATTTAAAATTTCCAAAAATCAGTTTTTAGTTATCCAACTGTATTATTAAAGAAAATGGTATGGGGAGGGTTGAGCATTCCCCGCAAATCACTCTGTAAAACTAAATATTTTGTTGAAAATGCGTATTATTTATACTATTTTTCACACTCAATGTACACTACCTATAGATTTAGTTGGAACGGCTTAGCTTTCAGTAAAAAAGAAAACGATCACATATCTATAAACTGTTGCGGTTATGCCAAAGCTTGTTCGGTGTAATAAACACGACTTGATAATTTATTCTCGTCGGACCGTAGCTAACAGGCGGGGGTAAAATTCACAGACGTTCAGTCGATGTTCGGGTCGATTTCGCATTGCGAGTTAAGACCGAATACCGATCACTATATTAGGGGTGCACGTTCACCCTCAACTCCCAGCAACGGATAAAACAAAAATGACTTACGCCATGTGGCTGACCCGTGTCCTCAATTATGACCGGCTTCCGACGCTGAACGCGCTTTTTAATGCCGCCTTGCGATTGAGTCGCGGCTGTGGCCGGCGAACTTCGAGTGTTCAGGTTTTGACGTCTGGTCGCGATCGTGATAACTGACGGCCACAGACTACACGGTCTACACGCACGAATCGCGGTGAAGCAGAACATTGATGATTTTTTTTTTTTTTACGACTTGACGAGCGACGACCATGCAATACGTAATAAATAATGTGCAACAAACAATACAACGATAATAATAAAAGGAGACGACTATGACAAAAAAATAAACACTTGATGAGCCGGTGACAGCAATGTGAGATAAAGTCTATGGTTGATATGCGGCACAAAATGATTTGAAAACACAATGATCATCAGTCGCGCTGATAACACAAATATATATGATAATATTAATAATATCACAGAATCGTTTTGTGATAATATTATGTTATTACTTATTATTGAAATTTCAGATTCTTATTTCTTGTCATTTGAGTTTGTATTCGTACTCTCGTGTTATTCCTGTTTCCTAGTAGTTCGGCGTTTGAGCGGCTCAAGACTGAAGACTGTGAACTGTGAAGTCGTATCGGAGAACTCGTCGTGAGTTTTCGATATAGTCACGACGAGCAATACTATAAGTTGTTATCGAATCGCGTTAGATGTCCAACGTTTATGGTTTGATTTTTTCTTCATAGTTTACGCCGTTTTTTCTCGAAAATGAGGCGGCGAGCCGGCGTCGGCGCCGTTCAAAAACAAAAATTGGAACAAGAAAAGTACAAGGACAAAGGGACGGTGATTCAAGAGAATCAATTTGAACAGATGACAAAACAAATGGAAGTGTTCCGCAGTAATCTGGAAGAATTCGCCACTAAGTACAAAAACGAAATCAAGAAAAATTCGCAGTTCAGGCGACAGTTTCAAGAAATGTGCGCGTCTATTGGTGTCGATCCGTTGGCTTCGGGCAAGGGTTTTTGGTCCGTTCTGGGTATCGGCGATTTTTATTACGAATTAGCCGTTCAAATCGTTGAAGTATGCATGGCAACCAGTTACAAGAACGGAGGCATTATTGGTTTAGATGAACTCAGGGATCGTCTGGTGAGTACTTAGTAATTTTAAGTATGTTATTTATATTCGTCGTCGTTTTAAATTCGTCCATTAGCATCTACCCTTTGAATCACACTGCTCGTTCTATAATCATATTATTCGTTTTCCAGATAAAAGCCAGAGGTCGCAACATACAGCATCAAGATATCACAGTCGACGACTTGCTGAGTGCCGCTAAAAAGCTAAAAATATTTGGCAATGGCTTTTGCATTATACCTGTCGGCAAAGGTCAATACATGGTTCAATCTGTGCCTGGAGAACTAAGCATGGACCAGACGGCTGTGCTCAAATTGCTGTCATCATCTGGCAGCCCCTGTGTCAGTCTCTCATCCCTCAAAGTACAACTCAAATGGGAAGAGACGAGAGCCGTCAATGTCATCAGTCAAATGGTGATTGAGGGATTGTGCTGGGTGGACAGTCAAAATGATGGTGAATTCTCGTATTGGTTCCCAAGCATGTTCAATGAATGTATAACGTCATAACAATATCCTATTTTAAAATTGTTTGTATATACTTATTACACTGTATTAATTACTTTAAGAATATTATTAAAGATTACTTTTTAATTTTGTAAATAAACTGAATATCATGCAGACTTGATTGCACTGTTTTTAAACAATAACACTGAAAATTTACTGTTTTTCAAACTTCTTACATCGTTTTTTTGTGTGGGTAACATATTATAGATTTTTAACTCTTGAATAGCAAACTGTAAGCACAAAAGGTGTTTAATTCCTATAACTCCCTATAACTAAAATTATGGTCGATTACGGGAGTAATCAAATTAGTGCTATAGGATCAAAAAAAAACCATTTTGATCCAAATTTAATAAACGCATACTCTTTCAATGTTAGCCATTATATCCATATGAGCTAGATGAAATTAAGTTCATTCTGGATTTTGTTGATAATACCTCATATAAATGGAAATAATCATTTATCTTCAGTAAAACATTACGTAAGTTTTATTAATATAATATAATATAATAAATCAGTGTAACAAAAAAAAAAAACAAAAAGATTACTATAATTTACAAATTTGAAATAATTGTTGGTTACAAGAGCGTTTAGTAATCCTCATAAATAGGTAAAAAAAAAAATTGTAAACTATTTCTAGAATAAAACAATATTATCACATGTATTTTTCTCATTTATCATCTGTTTTTGACCTATATCTGATATTATACATAATATTTATTGAATACAAAAACAAAACAAAATTATAACCCAGTATTATATATCTATTAAGAAATTTCTTTGTTCAACGAGCAATATTTTTATTCAATGTTTATTAGCATTAGTAATAATATTATAATACTATTATACAAGGAATATATTTTTATAGAAAAAATAATAGTCAACATGTATACTACTTATGTCATTTATTTTTAAATTGAATTATTGTAATTATTTTAACATCACAGCCACAAAAAAAGGGTACAAGATGAAACTGTGACATAAGTTAATGAAATTATTCGAAGAGACCATTGTAGCAATTATATTATGCCAAAAAAACAAAAAGGCATTCCCCTTTGATATCTAAAACGTTACTATGTAATAAAGCACTAAAATTTATTATTAAAATAATTACAATACCTATTAGTTTTGAATCAAATGCTTTCGTTCATTTTTTGTTTTTATGTAATAATATTAATATGATGTACACAATATGTACTCATTTATGAATTATGAGTATTGTATGTATAGTAAACTTAATACAGTAGAACAATTAATAACGTAATATTAAGACTATTTAACTTAAGACTAGGTGGTCAAAAAAGATAGATTAAAATACATAATACATACAATAATTATTGTAATTAAAAACAGAAAATATATCAAATATAATATAAATAAATATACATACATATGTTTTTTGAGGCGACGAGATAATAAAATTGGTAAATACGATGCTGTTAGAAACAATGTTTATGTATATGAATTTAGTTTCTCAAAATTAAATAGAAATTACAAATATATTTAGTGAGACATTAAACTATAAATCTTAAAATAAATATAATACAAAACAATGATTAGTAATTATAAACACATTTCAGATAATACGAGTTGGGTATTTTGCTCAATTATAAAAAATAATAATAATACTAAAGAAAAAAGAAAATAAATCAGTCTTAGGTAAACTTCTCATCATTCATTTAGTTTGATAACAAAAACTTGTCAAAAATTGAATTCATATCATACAAATAAATCTCATATCTAACAATATTTTCTACATACATAGATTCCAAACAAAGATAATAGCTGCGTAAAATGTATAAATGCAACGCCTAAATGGTTATGCAATTTCAAATAAATATTATGATTAGGAATTCATTAAATTCAGTTTTTTCAATATTTTTCACATTAGAAAATAGTATAAAATAAAAAATAAAAATAAAAATAATGTTTGAAAAGCATCATTAAATACTATACTTCATGAAATATAATAAACATATCTCTGCATTTACTGTAAAATCAAAATGTGTATATTTTTCAATTTCAAGTATTGAATAGTTGGAACAGTAATAAGTAATTTATTTAAATGTTTTAATACTTGGCCACCTTTATCATCAAAAAATTAACAAGACAAGTCCATCCTAATAATAAGTTTATATAGTATGAACAAATTTAAATATATAAATATTATGTTATATTGTATAAATGATCAATATATCATGTATCATCATGTAAATGGAAACTTATAGAAATGGAATCAAAATAATCATCACAATCTTTCAATTGATAAAACGACAAATTATTGTTGGAGAAGAAATTTTTAAATGTATAACTTGGGATTTAGAAAACATAAGACCTATCATAGTATTTTTTTAAATCTTTTCAAGTAGAACGAGCAAACTGTATGCAGATCTATTACACAAAATAATTAAAAGAGAAAATTGTACAAAAATGATTCTAAAAATATACATTATAATAATAAATGCTACTACAGACTATACGTCCATATGTTTGGAAGGCTGCTGTATTATAAATGGTTCACTCCACATTCTTCTTAAATCACCCTAAAAATTATTTAAAAAATATTAATTAATTAATTATTATTTACCAAAAATAGTTTACTCTTAATAGGAGTATAAATATCACCTTTAAATAGGCCATGGTCAAAAGAGGTAATAGTGTAAATGGAACTAAATAGAGTAAAGCTGGTTGGGCTGCTTTAAAAATCTCTGAAGACACTGTAGCGGTAACTAGGCCCAAAAAGTACCCAATTAGCGAGCAATGGAAATAACTATACAGAACAAAAAAAATTAACAAGGTTATCTTATTGTTTTTCACAAAAATTACAATTTCATAATAAAATTGTTTCTTGCCTTATTCTGCCTAGATGTCTTGGAGGTGGAACACCAGTTTCTCCAAAATGTAGAAGCTGAGATTTCTTATATGCATCATACCGCATTACAAAGCACAGTAATAGACCAGGCATAACCTGCAATAGTTATCATTATTGATAAGATTTTTACCAGAATACTTGACAACAAATATAATATTAAAAAATAACTTACTATATCCCCAAGCCCAAGCATTGAAAACCGCCCATTATGAATACTGGGAAATACTAATTTTCCAGGAAGAGATAACCTTGGTGCTTCTTTGGCAACTCCGCCAATGTGTAACTTTCGGGCCACTACTCCGACAGGATTCTCTGCTGACCTTGTTGCCACCTATTTTAATATTATAAAATGAACACAATAAGTATTTCAGCAATTTTTAATAGTCACATAAGTAATGCTCACTTTGACCATAACATTGGTGTTAAATATGTATGACGAAAAAAACACCCAAAAAACATCATAGATCAAAAGACCAGTCAACAGAAGAGTGGACACTTTAAGACTAGGAAGTCGGACAAAGGCAATAAATGCTACACAGAGTCCCATTCCCATTGCTACAAAGATTAAACAATAATTTATTTAGTATTTATTACATTCAATAATCATTTTGAAAATATTTTACAAATGAATTAATATAAAAATAAGAATTTAATTTTTAATTTAAAAAAGGAAAAAACATATAATTTAATGTTATTAAAGGCTCTTGATTTTTGTTTCAAATTATTATCATTTATAGTTAATTATTGTATAGTATTAAGCACTTACCATCCATTAACAGCCAATGTCCAGTCAGCACCCAGATACAAACTATAAACAATGCCATTGAAAAAGACAGGAGCTCAGCAGTTGTGAAACGACCACATATACCAAAAGAGATCCTAAAAACAGTTATTTATAATGTAACAAAAAAAGAGTGTGTTTTGAAATGTAAATTTACTTATTTCCATCCGAGCAAGGATTAATAATGTACTGACACATGGGCAGCAGGAGAAATGCCAATGCAACGGTAGCAATAACTGTAATAAAAAATAAAGAAATAAATGTTTTAAATATGCTTTTCAATAACAGCCTAAAATAAGAAGTAATGAGATATTTGTAGTGTATAGTTGTATACTAATTTGCTATTTTTTTGTTCAAATGAAATGATAAAAATATATATTTTTGAGAATTGAAAGTAATCATTTGTTATACTTTTATTATACAAAAATTTAGATACAAGTTTTTGTGTTTTATTTTTCTTACAAGATATAATTTGATCATATTATGATATGATTAAGTTTTTAAATACAAAATTTAAAAATCTTAAGAAATCTACTTGCCATTAATGTCATTAAATTATAAATTTAATTTCTTTAAGTCGTACTAAATTAAATTGGATTAATGGGAATATAAAAAAACAACCATCATATACTAAGTAATTAAGGTAAACTTAAAGTAAAGAATTAAAAACCATAATCAAAATCCAATCACCTATATAAACTTTATAACAAATTCAAATCGGTTTTTAGAATTCTAATCATATCATTATTTAAATTGGTACATTAGAAAAAAAAGGTTTTTTCGTTCCTATATTATGTGTTGTGTGTGACAAAGAAATACAGTAAATCGATGTTTATCTCTTTAATACTAAGAAAACCTGATATATACAAATTGCAATTTAGTATGTACGAGGTATAACATAATCAAATAACACATGATTTACTTTCTATTTTTTATTTTAAATATATTATTATGATTAAAATGCTTTTAATAAGATAAATAGTAAGTTAAGTAATGATTTATAATTAAAAATTAGAAGATAGAAACATAAAATGATTACAAAAAGGATATAATATGAAGTGATACATTAAAATTGTGCAATTGAACATAGTATTTACTTAATACAAGAAAATATCAGCTTACTTGCAGTGCATATTGCAAATAGCATTTGCATGGAATCAAAGAAGAAAAACATAACTAACAATGATATTGAAGCTCCCAGAGGCAAACATAAAGCTTGCATAGTATCCAAAGTTTGGACATCTATAAAATAAATAAATAATCATTTATTAATCACGACTATATCTAACAATGATGTAATAATCAATTTTACAAAACAATACTATCAGTTTCTTTACATAGAGTCCAGAAAATTGTTCATAAAAAATTAAAACTATTTTATTCAAACAATAAAATGAAAAATAAAAAAATATTACCAATAACTAATTTTAACAAATACAATAGTTTATGAAATATTTTACATATTTTATGGACACTCAATGTTGTAAAATACTGATATGAAATTATTTTAAAGCATGTTAACCTTGTTTTCGCTTACTAATATCTGTTAAGCACACAGAGCTTCCATTGGAGCTCTTAGATTTTTCTTTTTCTCTTTCTCTGGCTTCCTGTTCCATATTTAAAGATCTGGAATATATAAAATTAAACAATAACAATAAATAATCATAAACAAAGTTTGGGATAAAAATATAGATGTAATGTATTAACCTGAAACTGCCATAAACAATCAACAGAATAGATATCAAAAATGTGGAGACCCGAGATGAATCCATTATTGTATATGCCCTGAAAAGAATTATTTAATTTGATTTTATTATATAAGTATTTATTTATTTATTTATGATAAAATGGTAAATAATATTATATCCTACCATTGGTAATCTACTTGGGAAGACATTTTAGAATTAGCAATGAAATCTTCTTCTGTAAATACAAATAAAATATTTAAAATATAAACGCATACATTTTATAATTATATGCAAAAAAAAAAAAATAACAATTTTCAAACTATGATCTGTGATAGGTACCCAAAGAAGCCCTGATTTAATTATATCATTAAGTTATTTACATTATGTTTATAATTTATATAATTTGTTCAGCAGATGAAATAAGAATGTTTTTGTTTTATAACTATTAGCTCACCACAATAACAAGTAAATATCTATTACTGTTAATACATTTATATTTTAGACCTACCTAATTTAGGTATCAAGTACTTATTAAAAGGTGTAAGTTATGTTTTTACATCTAGAAAGGTACAAATCAAAATTTGAGAATTACCGACTATCAAGTATTAATTATTAATAAACTAACAACATTAAAATATAGTCTCTTGTGTAAATTGCCCTTCTATAATTTGTGTTAAAAATATATAAATAGGTACCTGCTATACTATTCAACCTTAATTTTAATTAAATTAGTAATTTTAGTTTTTTGTAAAATGCTTAACTTATTATTTTATGATTTGATTTTTATTTAAAAGAAAACAAAAATAAGTTTAAAGAAATTTAATTTGAGTACAATAAGTATAATTTTTACTAAAAATGTTATTAAATATACGTAGATTTTTTTTTTATTGTAGAAAAATATCAGAACAAGACAGATAATGTAACATTGAAGCCCTACCTATTAACAAGAATATAAGCAATATAGGTAGTTTCTTGACAGTTTACATAACAAATCATAAAACAGGTATGGATATATGTATATATATATTTTTATTTCATATATTCATAAGTTAATAGAAAATGGAAACAGGAAAGCCTAATTAGATAATTTTAAGATTTTTAACATTTACATTTTTTTAATTGGATATTTTCAAATTCTACAAGAAAAATATAATATAAGTAAAATTTCATTTTTTTTTTTTTTTTATTAAAAATGAATAAGTATTCAAATTATAAATAATTTGCTAAAAATTTGAATAAATAAATATTATAATTTTGTACAACTGTATGTAATAATTAATATCAGCAATCGTAATCAAGGATTTAATCAATAGTAAGTTATTCTTTACTAAATGACTAAATTTAGTGTACATGTCAATTAGGTTAATGTTTATTTATAATAGAGTTCTTAAATCATCATAATTTATAAGCGCAATGTGATTAATGAAAAATACAGGTAAAATTATTACAAAAGATTGAAATATTATAAAACAAATTGTATTTAACTGTTTATTTTTATGAATACTTATTAACAATTAAAGAATATAAGCCATATGTACCAGTATAGTATATATATTGTATATTCATATTATCTCTAAAATAATAGTTATGAGAATAGTTACAATATACATGGATACACCATAAACGTACAATTAACAAGTAAATAATCTAATAAATTGTGTTTTATTAGATAAGTGTGTCAGTTCAACATTAGTTCTAAACATATTAAAACAATTTCAATAAAGTTTATTTTTTATTCGGTATTATATAACAAGTCTTCAACCAATGTAAAGAAATATGATAAATGATCATAAAATAATAGTTGAATAGTGAAGAAATTGTTTTATTAGGTACAAATAAAAACAGATACCTATAAGGTATTATCTAAGAAAAATGTATTAAATGTATATCAAAGGGCATGTAGGTACATATCAAAATGTGTTTTTTTTAAGTTATCTTGTTTTTATTATTAGTATTAAATATAATGAGTATTTAAATATTTAAGATTCTTTTAAAATTAAATAATTGTTTATTATAAATAAAAATAATAGATAGCCTATACTTAAATGATGTTTTCATTTTGTCATTAATAATTTAATGTATGACAATTGGCGGAAAAACAGTTCATTACATTAAAACTTTACGACAAAAATATTTATTTATTCAAATTAAAATTTTCAGTATTTTTATTTGTGTGTACCTATTAGATTAGAAAACAAATGTCTGTATAATCTGTTATTATAATCTTATAGCTAAAACTTATAATAATCAATTGTATGCAGTGCTACAGTGAATATCTTCCATATTTGTATTATTAAACTTAAGAAACACACCAAACGTACATAACTGGTGTTTATATAGTTAACCTAGTGGGGATGACAGCCAATAGGTTGTCACTAAACAAAAACTGGTCGCTGATGAGTATATTTTTTAAGTTAAATAGAGTATACAATCTTTTACTGTTCAGCACTTTGAGTAAAAATTATGATGATTTTATTTTTTCCTCTTCTATTTAATTAATTAATACTATTCGTACAAATACGAACAAAATATTCCTATCTATTGCAGTTGTACTGCTAGATAAATAAATATGTACCTATTAGAAAAAAAAATTGTAACCAAATAGTAAATAGAGATAATTGTGAAGGTATTAGGTATATACGAGGGTATATAGTTATTAAATACATTTTGATAACATTTGTAAAGAACATATTTATTTTTTTTAATATGTAATGTTTAATTAATTGATAGTTTTAGGTTTTGGCAACAATAGATAAAAACTAATTCAGATTGTAAAGACTGCTGTAGACATACTAAAATGAGAGTGGTGAATTATTTAAGATTAACTATTTCAAAATGTTTATAAATTATTATAACATTTTAAGTGTTTCAAATATAGCTAATCAAAAAATATGTAGGAACAAGAACTTTCAAATTTGGTACCAAATCAATTATTATTTTAATTTTGCATACTTAAAATGTAAGATGTTTAAATGATTGGTAGTATGGTTCTTAACAACATTATAATGTTTTAAGTTATTATTGTATACAATATCTACTAAGAAAATATAAATATAAATACCTAAATAAATGTAAGTATTAATTATGATGTTAAAGACAAAAATATTTAAATACCTACTTACAAGATACTTTAAATTAGGCTTAAGGTATAATTTATAGAAATATTACACAACGGTTAACAGATGAAGTACTTCACTTTTACAAATTTCCCTTTAATTCTCGTTTAACCAACAGCAAAGAGGAGGCTCTGTGTGAACAATATTACTTCTAAAGGCACTAAAGGTACCAACTTACCTACATATATATATTTTAAATATAATAGTTTCAAAAAAATAAATAAGCAACATAGAATTGAAGACTGGTTAAGAAATTAAATAGGTAGATTATTAATGATTTTCAGTAATAAGTAGGTACATTCAATAATTTTAAATTAACTTAATATCTAAAAGAAAAAATATTATAAAATCTACATATTTTTTCTATTGTAATTTTTATCCAGAGATAAAAAACTTATTTATTAATGAATGTAGACTTGATATAATTATCTTACCAGAAACATAATGTTTACTATCTTTTTCTTTTTAGTGGTGTAGTTGTGAATAAATAACCATAATTGGTAAGTAACTAAAAAATATAATAGAAAAAGAGACCAATTTACACGTCAATTATGCGAAAAACAATAATTGGGTTATTCAGTATTATATTTGGTATCCATGTTTATAAATGCGTTGAAAGAAAATATTTAAACATAGATAATAAAAAAGTAAAACAACATACATATTGTAATTTGTGATTATTTTATTTGTAATATTAAAACTTTAAATTCAAAAATAAAATTTATATTATTTGTACTTGACCGCCAAAACATTTGATAGACATTTCTAGTCTAACTTTATAGACTAACTATAGAAACTTTGGACAAGAGGAGTACCTAAGCGACTAGTGTCAAACTATCAAGACTTAAGAAAATGATAGAAAAAAGAAATTTTTTTTAAAAAGTGGAATTTCTGCTATTTACCAGTAATGCTTAGTATAGCAAATTTGTAGGCATAGCTGAATCCCGTCACTACCATACTACTATCGTTATTATTAATCAAACGCAAAACACTTACGCGCGAGGGATTTTATGATTGGGCTATATTATGATCGCGAAATGATCGATGTGATTTTCGGAGGTAAAGACGTCGTCAGTCGGCGTCTGCTGCTCATCGATTTCCATCCCGTCACAAGTCTTGGGCGGTGGTGAACGACTCCAGACTTTGAAAAATTATACACAAGACAAGGCGAACTGTCACAATCTCTTCTCGCTTCGTGCCACTAAACAATCCGACCGATGACACTCGGCACTCGGTATTCGCGTCCACCTGTCGTCACGACGAAGACTCGACGACGAAAAAGTCGCCCGAATACCGAATAACCGTTGTCGTACCGGTCATCGCGAGCGGAGACTATTTATTTGTTATATCCTTTATATTTTTGTGGTGACCGAATGAATCGTAACGCGAAGACCACAAGCGGGTTGTCGAAAAATATTTGCGTCACGAACCACCAACGAAACCGGACATCATAATGTATTATATTATATTCAACAAAACCTTCGCGGCATATTATTAAAATTAAATGTTATTAGCGAATAAATGGTCGGTCGGTCTTTTGTTGTTATTGTTCTAGCGAGAATCCGAACGGCGCGCGTGCGTGCAAAGATAAATTTGGAACGCGGCCGCGGACACCACGACTACCACTGCAGCTGAAACAATATAAAAAATGTAAAACGATTTAACTATAGTACGAAGTCGGACGTACGCAACTAGAGCGGAGAGTGGTAGTGATGACTGACGAGTGGTGGAAGTGTCGATGTTGGAAGAGTCGAAGAGTGGTGTCGATGAATGGCAAGTGGTGGAGGTAGTTTTACCGTGGTGGAATGGTTGTCGACCGCGGTAATGGTCCTGGCTGGCGGTGTGGAGTGGTAGACGGTAGTCGGTAGAGTCGAGATCGGCACTGTCCGTGACGGACTGCCCGGTGGTGGTGCGGGGGAGTCATAGAAGTGCGCGTGCGCGTGCGTTATAATGACGATGTTATCATAATATTATGGTGTATCGAATTAAGTTCGGGAATCCGGTCGTCGGCAGATGGCGTGTCCTACGTTGGCCGCGAAAACTGAATCCTTATACCCACCTAACTACTTATTATGAGTACACTTACTCATGAATAAGGCACAAAAGTTGATAAAAGAAAATTTTATTTAAAAACAAGGAAGTGCCTTCATTGGTAGATCTCTTCATTCAAGAATTTACTAAAGGCACTAAATACTTGAAACACTTATACTCATTGTAAAAATATTTTATAGATTATGTGATAACAAAAAAAAAAAAAAATGTAAAAATAGTTATTTTAAAATAAATGCTCAAGAGACGAGGATATTGAATAATGACATTTTGAGCGCTGAGAATGCGTAACCTTCATTTATGTAAAAGGGAAGAATTTGAACTTTGGTACTGGAATATGGTTTTTCGTTGATGGATGGTGGTGGTCTGAAAATTGGTAGGTGATGAGTAGAAGACTAAATACCTTCGGACGAAGATACGCGTTCACGAAGAGAGATACATAACGATTTGTAGAAACGAATAATTTGTTTTTTTTTCACCGGGTTTAGGAAACGATGACGAAAACATAGATCATAAATTGCGCTGGGAAATTTTCTGAGGCATATTGAAAACTATGGTTTCAGAGAGTCATTACTCATTAATAAAATTAAACGATAACGGACTGACATAATAAATGTCTGCGCTCGGTGAACGGTCACGCACAACTGAAAAAAGAAAATGTATATAGATAGATATTTATGTATGAATAAAACGTGTCAATGGATGGGGATTTCCCTCAGATTTTTCATGTTATTTTTGTTTTATAGTACATATCATTATTGTGCCCTGTTCTAGAGCACAGATTATATATTTTCTAATAAAAAAAAGAAGTTATTTGCATTAAATAATAAAATACGACAACATTTATGGTATAATAATTATATAGGTATATCAATATATTATGTATAAATATATATTTATTAAAATCTGTGTAGTTTAATAAGGAAAAAGTTATATGAGTATAAAGGACTTGTTGTCTTGAACGAAGGGAGTGTCCAGCGACACCTGCACTTTAATAATTATTTTTATAAAAATCTTGATTAATTCATTTCATTTGTAATTAAAAATACAACTGTTTTATCAAATGAATCATTTTAAAATTTATTTTAATTATAATAAGTTTTTGATAAATCATATACAAAAAAATTGGTGATTTATTCTTCTTTAAATTTGAGAAAACTATCTAAAATTTAAGAAAATATATATATCTTAAAATGTCAAAAAATGAAAACGAAAATTAGTTTAGGTTCGAATATTTTTGAACCAAATGTTTAAATAAAAAAGTGTTTAAGGCGTTCAAAAAAAAAAAAAAAAAAAATCAACATAAATAAATAATAATTAATATGATATTAAATGTACTTTATTTTCTATAAAACAAATTGATAATATATTCTAATTACACCGGCTGGGAAACACCCAATAATTTACTAATTTTTAAGTACAATTGTTTCCTATAATTAAATAATAAATAATCTTATTATTTTATTTTATTTTTTAATTTTTAGTTTACATTTATCCTTAAATTTTGTTATTATTGTTATTAATGATCAGAGTGCATGTTAAAATATTAACCAAATCCACGATAAAATAATTTTACCACTATTTAAATTTACAAATATGCCCAAGGTATATTGATATTGGAGCGTATACGGTATACAGTAATATTCGAAGTATACTCATAACAATATTTATAAAGAAATACGTATAAACGAAAACAAATATAAATTTTATAAGTAGTATATGATGAATGGTCTATGAGTATATTATATTATTATTTGTTTTAAATTTTATGGTAACCTATGAGTTGTAACCTACCACCCCACCTTACAACTTGAGTATATAATACAATATTATAATCATAAATGTTGTGTAATTAGATGTCCCACTAAAAATATTTACTGAAAATAAAAATAAATTTTAGAGTACACAACAAAAGTATGGTTTTGAATAATTTTCTAACTCAGCGAAAAGAAATTTTTGGAGATCCATTTTAGGAAAATGTAACGTACACTCAAAATGCGATTTACAAATACTATAGTCTTATATAACATAATATAATATGTATAGTATATACTTCTGCCAAATACTTTGAAATGATTCGCCACCCCTACTCTGTACTCATACGTTTTTAGCATATATGTTTATATACATTTCTATACCAATATATAATATATTATATCATATACAATGGTACTTGTAGTTATAATATATATACCTATAAGTAGATCACTATATAACCAGTAGAAAGTAGAAGGGTAATTGTATAAAATAAAAAAATATATGAACAAGAAATTGAAATTGAGAGTGCAGGGTGAGATGTATAATACATGAAATCGTTCTATCGAAAATATTTTATATATGTAAATATGCAGCGCGCATAACATATATTCAATATTATATATATATAATATATATATATGCAGGACGATTTATTAAGAATGATCTTCCTTTTATTACTTAAATAGATAATGTTTTTATTAAAAAATTATTTTTTCTTTTTAAATATACTTAAAGCTTACAGAATATTTTCAAAAACTTAGAATTTTTATACCATTGAAAGAATTTCCTATATAATACAATACCCCTGTATACAAAATTATTTTTTCAAATGAAAACCTAACCTTTTTTCTAAAAATGATTAAAACATGATTATTTTGAAACTTTAGATGTAGATATATAAATCGAAATTCAAACGATTAATTTTTGAGTTGATATAAGTATTTATTAAGAATAATGAGGTCCATGATAATAGATTTAGAATATTTTGGGGGTGGTTATGATAATATGAATTAAATGAAATATTGAGCATCATTTTTAAAAATTGACTGAGTATAGAATAAGTGCTAAAACCTAGAACTACAAAATATTACATTTGTTTCATTTTTTTTATTAAAAACCATTATTATAAAGATTATGTGTCTATGTTGCTATTATCCACGATTAATATAAATTTACAATGCCATTTTTGAAATTAAAAAAAAAAAAATTATAGTAAAAATATATTGTTTTTATTTTTTTTTTTTTAATGAAGGGTATTAACTATTAAGATATTCCTAAGAATTAAGATGATACAAACTTCTCAAATAGTATAAACAAATCGTAATATGTTTGAAAATAATATGGTCTTTAGGTTAACTTAAAAAAAAGTATTCAAAAATCGGATTTCGAATAAATATAATACCTACCGATTAAAAATAGGAAGCACGGTTGAGAAATCATTCTGTATTTCTGTACCTATGCTATGACATGTTTAAACATACCGAAATTTTCTTTCCTTTTAGGATTTTTTCATAGACACGAACTCATCAGTCCTCATAAAAATATAATATGAATAATATGATGACTATAATTATTTGTGTGTATACAATCTATGGGGAGGAATTTATCCCCTTGATCCCCCCTCGTAAATACGTCACTGTAATACCTATACATTTCATCGTGTAAAAACTTTAAACATATCATTAATAACTCACAACGCGTGCGCGGTGTCTATCAGGCGGCATTATTGCCAGAAGTATATCACACAAAATGTATGTACGTGTGTTTTATTATATGAATCTGAACAATATAACCTTTACATGCCGATGCCGGTTACATTGTATATTTATATCATTACAAATAGAATTTTAATTCGTGCGATGGTGGTCATTCTACCATAAAGGCAGTCCATGTGTATATGGTATAATGTATTAATATTATTACACGTGCTTGTTTGTAAGCGATGAATAAAAATAAAATAAAAAAATTACAACGTGCAGATATAACAGGTGGGTATTATTTTATGGGTGTATTATAATATGTGATATATGCGAATAATTTTTTCAATTATAAATTATAATAGTGAGTAGGTATCTATATTGCAGACTTACACAATGAACGCATATAATATGTGTTGAGTTTGCTTCTCAAAAATATATGTATACCCAGTACCCACACAGTGGTTGCCATTGCAGTGTACTTATAGTAATACAAATTTTATTTTACAATGATTCAGGCGTGTACCCATAAAAAATTTTAGGACTACATCACTGTACAATGTATTAATTTCAGTCCAGTGGTCGAAGAGGTTCAAAATAAATGGGAGGACATTAACATTTCGTTAATATTCAATACATGCTAACGTCATAACGGACGTCTATGTCTCTGGCACTGCCCATTTGAAATTTTGAATTCAAACTTGGGGCATCCGTTTGTACTACGCCTGTGCTGATTTGTGCTGCAAATCCCTTCGTTTGTGTTCGTTTCTACAGTCTTAATGAGTTAAAAAGTTAAAGTTCAATTACTTTTAACTACTTATATGATTCATTTTTTTTTCAAAATAATTTTAAACTTATCGATTTAAATTTGTTTTCCATGATTTGCAGTTACTTATCAGCTAATTCAATGTATAATATTCCCATTATAAATCCTATAGATATATTTTAAATTTAATTCATTCCGTAAAAATTATTGTTTAAAAAATAAAATTTAATGAATAATTAAAAATATTATTTATGAATTATAACAAATTTTGTATTATGATGTATTGTAAATACTAAATCACAGAAAATTATAGAATTTCGAGGTGCTGAGTACTTAAAAATGAATGTAATACAAATTTATACAATATAGTTATCCTAGTTTAGTTACAGTAACCAGAAAATCTTAGAGTACAACATTTTTTATAAACATTTTTAGTTAAAATGTAAACAAGATTAGATGTTTAAACGAAAAATAACAAATAATGATTTTAGTTATTTAATTGAGATTTTAAAATATATTTATGGATACAACTTTGAAACTTTTAACGTGCATCATTATATTTTGTACACATAATAA